GACGATCGGGATGTCATCTTGGACCCTTTCCGATTTTAGAGTGTTCAGGATTAAAAGATATATAAGAACTTGATTAAAAAAGTGGAACGCTAGAGAAAGGTGGATTTAAGATATCATGGAAGTAAAAGAAAGACCAGTAAACGAGTTCTGGTTTATTAGGGGGGCTGCAACATTTTTTGTCAGGAGCTTCCTTTATTTTAAATTACATTATTTTGTGCTCTATATAAAATTCTTAATGTAATTTTCGATGCTCTATCGAATAGCGTTAACAGAATGTCGAAAAATATCGAAAATCTCGGAAAATTACCTAACCAGCCCCATTTTTGGGCTATTTTTGCTTTTGTTTTAACGTTTTCAAACTAGATACACCTCGAATCAAGAGCCTTAGTATATTTGTTTCTGATGCTCTACCGGTCTATGTAGTTTTCTAGGAATTAGTCCCCAAAAATAATAAAACATCAAGAATTTACGATTTTAAATCCCCCTTGATGCCCCATCCCCGCTAACGAACCAGCACCAGCCAACGCATCCGCGTGAAGCCCCGTTGCAAGCAAAACTTGGGTTTAGTCGTGGGGCTGTAACCTGGTTCAAGTTCCCGGCAGAACCCTCGAAAAACTCCCGCCCAGGATATAATGCGCTCGAAAGTTTGGAAATGAGCGGGAGGTCAAAGGTTTTGCAATGGACTAGCCTTTGTTACATCCACACCTGGGGCGCAGTGCCAAAACTTGCCGCGGGCGCCATTCCAGTGTATACGTTAGCTGAGCGCGAAAAAAAGGTCACACGTCATTGACTGCAAGCCAATTGATTGATGGATTGTTTACACCAGATCCGCGGAGGTCAAAGGTCAGCCTGGAAAGTGCCGTAATTCAGCAAGAGAATTGGGTCATTTGGGTTGTGTCACACTGTTAGCGGGGGGTTTCCCAATGAAAATATTTTTCGTTTTAACGCCTCTACACCTGGTGCTAATTAGCATACCCGATTTTATAGTGTCTTTGGTAGTTTTTTGGAGCTCGAAAGTTATCAGAAATCCTTAAAAACCTGGAAAAACCAAAATTTACGAGTTGTTAGCTATTTTTCATACATTTGTGAGAATCTTTGAAAATTTTTCAAAAATGCGTAATTTTTTATAAACTTTTTGAACTAACGACAGGGGAAAATTGCTATAAAATGGTTTATATTTCGTTCTAGGACCGTACAGGATTACTGGGAAAAATTTAATCCTCCAAGTTATCCCTTTCCTCCCCTCGCTAACAGCTCAGTACCGTGAATTGAAGATTAGCGTGAGAATTAGAAGCAAAATCAGAGCGGGAAGATGAAAATGAAGATTGGAGCCAGCGATTCCGAAGATCGTGCAGATTGCCAGGCGCCTGGAATCACAATTTACATGGTTCAGCGTGCTAGTACACGTGTCGAAGAGGTCGGAGTTTGCCCGCCAGACCTGATTTCTGCCCGCACACTAAATATCTGCGCTTGTAAACCCCGAGCGCCAGCCGTCCGAAATTTTCTAAATGACAACTTTAAATAATCTGGTCTGGCATGCCAGCCACCATCCACGTTCCTGGACGATCCGATTCATTGCGTCAAGATGTCGGCCCGTGTCCCGGTTCTGCTGCTGTTCACCTGCCTCCTCGGCTTCTCCTTGTTCAACGTGGGCGCCGCCGAGTGCTACCAGTGCTTCGAGGGTTCCCAGATACTTTTCAAGGACACTAAGGATAGGTGGGTACTTTGATCTCGCCTTTGGAGCCAAAGTTTGCAGGGCGCCTGACTTTGTCGAGGGAATTGAGACGCCGGGTGCTTGCACGACCGCGAACGTAAGAGCCGTCAGTCCGTAGGAAAGTTTTCATATATCCAGGCGGCGACCAAGAAATGCGAAGGCGACAAGTGCGCCCACATTCATATGGTGCGCGAAATGGACGGCGTGACTAATGTTGTCGACATCCGAAATTGCGCTTCAAAGGATGTGATCAAAAATGATCAATGGAAGGTCGAGACCGTGCACCCAAAAGGCGACGGTAAGAGCTTATGTAGTGCACCCCCACACGCTGTTCCCCGCCTTCATCCGGGGCGTCCCAAATCACGGCCCCTCGGGCATTTCGCCGCCTACCATCCGATCGGTCCCAAAATTGGCCCAGAGTTGTATCAGACCCAAAACAACAATCGTTCTGCGTTAGAGTGCAGCTTACCCCGCCCCCAGCCGGCACCCATCTTTTGTATCTCGGCTCTCTGTTCATCTACAGGTGTGTAAAGTATACCAAAATGTTAGTCTTGCTCTGGCGGGTATTTTGGTGGTATACTTTACACACCTGCAGATGAACAGGGAGCCGAAATACGGTAGGTGGGTGCCGGCTGGGGGGATAAACTACACTTAAGCCCAGTCCTGACTTATAGCCTAATCGTTATATACTTGAGTTGTAGTCAAAACCAGTGGAAAAAGACCGCTTCGCCGCCCTTTTCCACTGGACCCCGGCTAGGCACCATGAATTCCTTCCCACTGTTGAGGGTCTGAGTCAAGAAACCATTCTTTGGCCTGCGGCGCCAGAGCCCGCGTTACGCTAGAATCTTTGAGCCTTCGGCGCGGGCGACTGGTTTTTCTCACGGATTTAGCCTGCGGCGCGAGAGCGTGAGCCAAGGTCCTTTTTTGGTCTGCGGTGGCAGAGCGAGGGCCTGACCTAAATCCCGATAAGGCGAGCCTAGAAATATTTTTTGTTTCTTAACTACCCAAAAAGCAAAAAGCTGAATCCCTCGCGGGATCCGAACCCCCGACCCTCATCGCCGTAGACCGACCCCCGATCGACTGCACCACAGGGGAGATGGGAACGCGTAGCCGGAAAGGCCTCTGCCTCCAAAAACCAAAAAAAACAAAGCAAAAAACCAAAACCAAAAACTCGCCAGAGCAAGGCAAAAATCTTGATATACTTTACACACCTGTAGGATAACATTTGACCGAGATACAAAAGTTGATAAGTTTTAAAGTAAACAGTAGCACCCTAAGCCTTTCAAAAATGCATTTAACATCTACGAAACCCCGTTTTCAGGCGGCGAAGCTTGGGGCATGTCCTGTGAGGGCCATCTGTGCAACAAGATGACGTTGGCCGAGCTGAAGGTGGCGGCCGGCGGCAGCGCAATCACCGCCCTGTGCGCCATCATCACGGCCATTACTGCCAATGCCCTTGCTTTTTACTGAATTGTATTCGTGTTGTGATTAAATCCCTCGTGTGCCAAAAATAAAGCGCCACGGGCGTCGGCCTTGATGTGTTGGATTTGCTAATTCACGGGAACGCCTGACAATTGTCGGGTTCAAAAACACACAGTTGCTACATTTTTGATGCAATCGGTCTCAAATCTTGCATTTCTCGGCTCCCTCCGATGCTACAGATCTGTAATGAATACCGCACGGCCAATCAAACAGGCCCAAAACCGCAATTTGCCGACAGGGGCAAAAGCGTCCATAGGAGCCGGGCGTAGCGGGCGTATTCGTTAGCTGATCGCGAAAAAGAGCCACACGTCATTGGTTGCAAGCCAATTGATTGATGGATTGTTTACGACAGATCCGCGGAGGTCAAAGATCAGCCTGGAAAGTGCCGTAATTCAGCAAAAGAATTGGGTGCTGGACTGTTCTGGACTGCAAAAAATGTCCGAATTTCGGAAATCGAAATCACCTGCAGGTCTTTACTTTCCCAGAGCCTTAACATTTGTCTTTTATTCACAGCAAGAATAAATTCAGTATAAGGCTCGCTGATTCGCGACGCGCGGCTTAGCCCTTCACCACGGCGGCCTTCTTCAGCTCGTCAACCGACAGCTTGTCGCAGCGATCACCCTCGCAGGCTTGCATCCAGATAGCTGAAAAAGTGATTGGTATCAACTATCATAATTTTCTTGAGGTGCCCGTGTGTGTGAAGTCAAATTCAATTCATGAAAAACTTCGAAAAATAAGGCAAAAATAGATTATTTTGCGGTCAAACTAATGCTGATCGGGAGAAAACCATAGATAAAAGATGGCTTAAACAAATTTAAACCGTTCTGGCGCGAAAACTTGCAAATAGAGTCTCAACGAACAGTTTAAATCCAAAGTAAGGCATTTGCAATTTTGCTAATGGCGGGATTTATAGAAAGCGAAACAATATTTTGATGTTTTGATTTGAACAATACATTGATCTAGACTTTCCAAGTATTAACCGAAAATAAAAACGGAGAAAATCGGTAGAATAATTCAATTGAGAGCAAAAAACTAGCGTGTATCCCCGGTGATACGCGCTGACCCAAGCACCCATTGGGGCGTGTATCCGCGGTGATACGTGTAAATCAAAGGTTCATTTACAAAAACTCGTTCAAAGAGCCGGTCGCGGTAGGAAATTTGGGCTCTTTGCCGCAATAAAGTGCCTACCATAACCCTGTTTGCTATTCCGCGGACGTTTACCGGCCATTGTAACCAACGGACTTTAGTGTACCTTTCAGGGGTTTCGGCTATGCGAGATATCTAAAGCCATCAGGAAGGCATCTAAGTAGTTTTTCCAGGGGGTTTCGGCATACCAAAGTATTCAAGCTGTCTGCACAGTTACTAGGTAGTTAAGGTATCGAAGTTTTTGCAGGGGTGGTTTAACTAGAGGAGGTATCATCGCGGGCATTATTGAAGGTAGGGATGCGTAGCGTGGTGGTTTAGAACCTGGAGGGTGGTGCCCGAGGCGAGCCGATGCCGGGAGAGAAGTGGCTGTAATCCCGGCCGATCTTCCTTATACGGCGGACACCGCAACCTTTTCCACAGGGAGTTTCGGCTGTGAGGGGTATCTGAAGCCATCAGGAAGGTGGGGGGTATTGATGGGGATAGCGTCAGGCTGTGGGGCGCGCGAGATATGCCGGGTAGCTGGCATGGAATTAAACCCAACACCTACCCCGGTTGTCTACCTTTCAGTCCCTCCACTTAGTTTTCCCAACTGCTCCAAGAGCTTTCCTGTGCTTTTCAGGTACGGATGTGTGTAGAACCAAGCTTTCGAAATTTCAAAGTACGCATGAATGCATTTGTTGCCCGGACACGTCGACGTCGTCCCCTGAAATTCGATCCCTGTCTAGCATCAAAACTGTGAACCTCTAAGGTTGTCGCGCAGTCGGTGCTCTCCTGGACGCCGTTGGTGAATTCTGGCGGGCTGAAAGAAGGGATGGCTTTTCATACGACATGCGGCCTGGCACATTGTGGTTAGATGCGTCGGTTCTCTCAGCAGGTCTGCGGCACTAGAGTACTCTATGGGGAAGCCAGTAGGGAAACCGCTAGACTCTTTGTAGCCAAAAGTTCCGGAAATTTTTTCAACTTTTCGGCTATTTTGGGAGATTGTTGGCCACGCGATTCGATAGATCATCAAAAAATATACCAAGAGCTTTAATTACAGACCAAAATGGCGTAAAATAGCAAAGTAATGGGGGATTAATGGTATTCTATGAGCTCCGGCTCGGGGGGGATAACTGCATAAAGCGGGAGTGCGAGACAGCGCCATGACTCAGCTGAAGAAGCTGCAGTCCTGGGGCGCAAACTGGTGAAAGTCGGCGGCAACGGTGTCGAGGTGGAACCCGAGCAGGCAGGTGAGCAGCAGAAGGGCCGGGACGCGTCCTGACATCTTGCAGAATTGAAGGGAAGATATCCGAGGTATGAAGGCCGTGGTTTTATACCTGGTTCAAGCCATGAATGTTAATTTCTTACGGGGGCGGCCGTGGTCAAAATCGCGATCCGCAGCGTATAATCGGTGTAAATCACCGTTATGGTCGCCGCGAATCTTGCTTTTTCCCGGTATCGATAAAAACGAAAAAAACGGAGGAAGAAACGAAAAACGAAAACGAAAATTTTATCTACGTTCGGTAGCGCTCGACGTCTACGTTTTCTCAATTACCTTGAT